TTCATTGTTAACAACTTCATCAGCAAAATGAACACGAATCTTTTCGTTACGTCGGGAACCCGTGATTAAACAACCACATTGAATTAGCTAAACAATGTATATATACTCGGGTTCTGCAAAATGACGGGAACGGTACTATCAAAACTTAGTGCCCGTGCCAGGCACTATGTTTTAATAATACCGTATCCGGCACTTGCAGAACCCGAGTATATACTCAGATTCAAGATGATATATTATAGAGAATTCGGACCATTTCGGAAAAAGAAAGTCAATGAACGCAAAACACGAGCATGGTCATCGGATGTAATGATATATATAGGGGGCATGCCCCAAAAATTTTTCATGCCCCAACCCTAGAGCTGAGCCTTCGTGTAACGATGTGAATAAAAAAAGAGTTGTCCCGGTGCGATCAAATTTTAGACTTCTAATTAACAATGGATACAGAAGAAAGTATTCGAGAAGAGGCCCTTGCAAATGAAGAAGAAATGAGCTCTGGTTCTGGCGGCGAAACTGAAGAAGAGGAGGACGACTCAGTTGATGAGTCTTCTGAAGAAATGGACGAATCTTCGGAAGGTGAATCTGAAGACGAGGAAGAACCGAAATTGAAATATAAACGTCTTGATGCCGGTGAGCTATTAACAAAAGACGCTGCAAGCACAATGGCAGTATCCGATCGGTTTGTGGTATGAAACAATTTAAAATTTACCAATCAAACCCTTTCTCTTTTGAACGATTAAATAAATATTTTTTATTTGAAGGCTTTGGGAACACACAATGGCAATGTTTTCATATTAGACTTTGACGGCAATTTAATTAAACGCTTTTCATCGCATTCGGCAACTGTCAACGATATATCAATCGATGCAGCTGAAGAGTATGTTGCCAGCGCTTCAATGGACGGTATATATTAGTTTACTTTTGAATAAAGACATTATATATAAGATCTAATTAATTTTAATAAATAGGCAAGATCGTAATTCATGGGATGTATGTTGACTCCGTTCAAGTTTTTAACTATCGTCGACCACTTAAATGCGTCGCACTCGATCCTGATTTTAGCCGAAAAGATACTCAGCAGTTTGTATCTGGTGGTTTGGCTGGTCAACTGATATTAAATGAAAAAGGTTAGAAAATTACTTTTCTTATTTTAATTTTACCTAAAATTTATACTAATAAATGCTTGTGCAGGATGGTTTGGTCAGAAACAGGATAAGGTGCTTCAACATTCTGGAGAGGGTCCAATATATGCTGCAAGATGGAAAGGCACACTAATAGCTTACGCCAATGACGAAGTATGAATTAAATTCCTCATTTAATAGTTCATTCGTCTTAGTATTAAAAATTTACATTTAATAGGGTGTGAAAATGTATGATACCCAGTCGCAACAACGTATTACTTATATCAAACGGCTTCAAAATAGTCCTAGACCAGATTTATATCGTTGCAACCTTTGCTGGCGTAATGACACTCAGTTGTTAATAGGCTGGGCAAATTACATTCAAATAGCTACTGTCAAAGTAAGCACAGATCATATTTTTTTTGTACTAATATTGGTTAAATTTAACAATATTAGTTTTTAGGAACAAAATGTATCAGGTCATCCACCGCTCTTTGCTGAGGTTAACTTGATATTAAACACAACCGATTACATAGTGTGTGGTCTTGCACCGTTTGGTGATATGACAATAATATTAGCTTATCTTACTATTGACGTTGCAACAAATGATGATTGCGATGATCCAGAACAACATAAACGTCCCGTAGATATCTATTATTTAAATTTCTCTTTACGACAATTGAAAAATTGTTATTTAAATTTATAAATATATAACTAAACAACTTATTATGTAGCACGCTAAATGCCCTGAACTTCGAATTATAAATTCATCCAATGATGAAATTTCAATTGATGCATTACCACTTCATGGATTTATTCATTATCAGGCCAATGATTATATTCTTGATTATTTTCCATCAGAAGACATGTTTTACGTTGTCAGTCCAAAAGATCTTGTATTGGCGAAGCCGCGCGATTCCGATGATCATATCGGTTGGCTTTTAGATCGTTCTAGGTATGAGGAAGCCTTAGAATCGCTTCAAGAGGCTCAAGCTTGGGGTGGTAGTAAGATTTATGATTTAAATGAAATTGGAGAGAGATACCTAGCATATTTAGTTGAACAAGGTATAATATTTAGTTATTTAAGTTTAAAATTGGTTATATTACTAAAATTATTTATATTACAATATATTTATAGAGGAATATACAAAGGCTGCAGAAAATTGTAAAAAAAATTCTGAAAGCAAACAAAGAATTATGGGAAAAATGGATTTTTGCGTTTGCTAAAATGAGGCAACTAAAGGTTAGCATATGGTTGTCATAAATAATAAATAACATATTAATTATTTTAAACAATTAATTGAATTTCTTTAGGAAATTACACAATATATACCATTTAAAGATCCACAACTTAGTAGCACTGTATATGAAATGGTGTTGGCATACTTTTTGAATCATGATCATAAGGTAATCATAATGTGAAGCTTGAAGATTTGGTCCTATAATATTACACTAACTTTTTATCAGTCTTTATATGAAACTATAATGAATTGGCCATCAACAATTTATAATATTCAAAGTGTCATTGTTCTTATCGAAGATGTTTTGGAAAAAGACACTGAAAATAAAACTTTAATGGAGTGTTTAGCTGAACTGTGAGATATTTATTTATATATATATTTTTTTCTTATTGCCATTATGTCATTGTTTTAACTACGTATTGTCATTATAGGTATGCTTACAACCGTGAACCCGATAAAGCACTTGAATATAATCTTCGTTTGCGTAGACCAAACGTTTTTGATTTAATAAGAGAATATAATCTATTCTCAGCTGTACAAGATAAAGTAATTCTTTTGATGGACTTTGATCAGCATTTAATATCAGAGGCACAAGGGGAGGATGAAGCAAAGGATGAACAAATTCATACTCATGCACCACCTGCCAAAGCAAAGAATATGCCAGCAGTTCAGTTATTAGTCGAAAATACTGATTCAGTTCCGGTATGTTTTAGTCTTATTTATTATATAAATTTCAAGGCCATAATTGAACACTGATTATTTAATTAAATTAGATTGGTCATGTTGTTAGTCAATTACAATCTCGTCGTTATTTCTTACACATATACTTGGATGCACTATTTACTCGAGATCATCATATGGGATTTGAATTCCATGATCTTCAAGTAGGTTTATCATTACTATCTTCAATTATTTTGTTTTTATATATATAGAAATTTAATATTAGTTATCGTTTCAATTCAGATAGAATTATACGCAGAGTATGATTATTCCAGATTAATAGAATTCTTGCGAGCTAGCAATTATTACTCTCTAGAAAAAGTAAGTTATCAAAGTATTATAGAGTAAACTGTGGTTATTTTATTTATTTTATCTTATTTATTTTTATTTTTATTTTTTAAAAAAAATCAATTAAAAAAAATAGGCATATCAAATCTGTAAAGAGAGAGATTTAGTTCCAGAAATGGTGTTCATTCTTGGTCGTATGGGCAATAATAAACAAGCTTTAATGTTAATTATAGAACGATTAGGAGATGTTCAACGTGTAAGTAGATAAAATTGTTGCATTATTCTTTATTGTTATTTCATTTAACTGGTAATTTCATTTTTGTTGATAAACTTTTTAGGCAATCGACTTTGCTACAGAGCAAGCTGATGACAGATTATGGGAAGATTTATTGAGATATTCTTTAGACAAACCACGTAAGTGTGCAAACAATATTCTCATATTTCTTTTTTTCTTTAAAAACAAAAAATATATATATATATATTTATATAAATTTATATTTCCACATGTAATAGGTTTTATTACTGGCTTATTGGAAAACCTTGGTAGCATTGATATTGACCCAATACAGTTAATAAAGAGAATTCCAGACGGCTTAGAAATCGTTGGACTTAAGCAAGCTTTAATTAAAGTACTTCAGGACTTCAACTTACAGGTTTAAAGCTTTTCTTTTCTATTTTGCTTCTCATTACTTCAAAATTTACATATAAAATAATCGATTTTATGATCCAGGCATCTTTAAGAGAAGGATGTCAAACAATTTTAGTGAGTGACAGTGTGTCTATGGCTAATCAACTTCATCGAGCACAAAAGCGCGGGATTTCATGTGGAGGTATGGTTCTACACGTAATTTTTTTTCACATATAATCATTTAATTCCGTCACAAATAATACAATTCAAAATTTATATTTAAAAGACGATGTGATTTGCAATATTTGCTCTGCATCTATAATCAAAGATGGTAATCATGAATTTTAAATACTATAAATATTGATGTTGAGATTTTGAAAGAAATAATTATTAACATGTGGAAATTCGTTTTTTTTTTAGTCAATTTGTCCGATGCTGCTTCTACTCATTTGATATTCTTTTGTGGTCATGTTTTTCATGAAAAATGTCTTTTTGAAAATGACACAATTCCAAAACTACCGGAAAAGCTTAATAAACCACATTCAGTTAGCACAAAAGTTCGTCATGCAAGTGTTCTTCGAGCGATGACACCTAGGCCAAAATGTCCGATTTGTAATGAATCAAATCAAACCACCAAACAAAAGGAAAAGAGTGGTCCTATTACCGGTAGAATTCGTGGTTTTGTTCGAAGTCCAAGGGAAGATGATGGAATGCCTCCAATGGTTCCTCTAAGGCTTTGAAATGCTTGTATATACTATAAAAAGTTGTAATTTGAATTTTGAGAAGGAATTCGTCTTTTTATTTTTTGTTGATTAAACATTAATTTTTCCTGTTTATTATTATGTATTTGTAAGTTATTGCTATTTTTTAAATTATATACTAGCATCAACATTTCATTAACTTTAAAAAGGTTCATTGATTTGTTTAAATGAAATTTTGATTTTCTCCTATGTTTTTATTTTTAGTATTGATCTACATAGTGAAAATAAGTTGCATTCTGTAATTTATTGGGAATATGTTACGTTACCACTGTACTCATTAAAATTTTTATCGAATTGCGCACTTTTATTAATATTAAAAAGTTCTAACCTAACTCTAATATCCAAAAATTTTAATTGTCCCGTTATTTTATGACAGAACCTATTTTAATTCTATTAGGCTACACAAAATTAAATTTTTATTTTGCATTATCCGCTGACCCAAATTTTACAAAAACTCGATTTTTTTTTTTTTTTATAATAATGTTTTAAAACAAGGATAATAGCTAGTGATCAGGCAGAACTGTCCCATACGACATACGGTTAGGGTTATGGCAAAATCACAAATGTCATATATTTTATTTAGTAAGTATATTAAAATTAATATTTAAAGTTTTATTTAAAAATTACAAAAATTAAAAGTGAATGCAAGCAAATTTGTTTGTATTACAAATTAAGAGATAGAATCATTTGCTCTTTTGTGATTTCAGATTTATTAAAAGAATTGATTAAATACAAATTAAGTATTCTACTAACAAAATTTAACATCTCACATTGGGGTTTTAGATATACTGATTAATCAAAATCATGTGAGATGTAATAATAAAAATAATACTGTTAGATTTTATATATAAAATCAATCTGTAAATCTTTACTAACAAACAACTAGTATTCAAAAAATTGATTCACCTTAAGTACAAATAATTGTTTCTAGTAATTTTTATAGTAAATGATTTGTATAGTACAATAAAAAAAAGTTATAGTTTAAAAATTTTGATTAATTAAGTATTTTTTTACTATTTTTTTTTTTTTTTCTTTGATAGTCATGTCATAAACTTTATGAAGTTGTTAATTACGGTCTTAGCCAAGTTATATGATTATATAATTTACCTAATTTACTAAGTTTGACATCACTCAACTGCTACTAGAGTACTCAGGTATAATCTGTTGCACTAACTAAAAGGCTAGAACAATTTGTCTAACTATATTAAAGAAAACTTTACCAACTTATTTCTCCCTTCTTAATTTCTTTTCCAACTACTTCTTCTACTAACGCTACTACCCATTTTTTTTTCCTTCCTTTTTCTTTTTTCTTTTCTGCGAGCAATGCTTTTCTCCTTTCATCTGCTTGGGTTCTCACTTTTGGCTTATTTTTTTCAACCTGGTTTCTTTTAAGCTTTATTGTAATTCCTTTGCTTTTTTTCCAGAGGATTACCTTTTCATATCGCTAGTTCTATATTACTTTTGCAAAGCTTCTTTGGGTAATAAAAAAGATACTGTCTATTCAAGATCTCATAACATCTTTTTCTTGAGCTAATGAATATATATTTTCAGCCATTTTCTTTTCCTCAAGTCCAATTATCAGCTCTTTCCTTCTTTGAAACAGGCTTTTCTTGTTTTTTGGAAGATAATCACTCTGATTTTTAATATCAAATCTGGATCATTAATTTTTTTGAGTTGGATTTTGTTGATACCTTCTATTATTGCTTTCTCAATTTCCTTCCATAACTCTTGTAGAACTGAGCAGCTTATCAGATGATTAAGATCTTCTAGAATTTCTTCTTTGCATAGAATGCAATAATCACTTTTGTATAGTGATAGCTTTCTTTTCTTAAGTTTGCTGAGTGTTGGAAGACTATTTAACAAGTACTTAATTTGCATGATAAGATTTTTGCTATCTTTTATTGATAGGCAATTTATTTTTCTCTGCTTCTTGATCCTCTGCTATAGTCTTTTCCAGTTATACTTTGCGTTTTCAGCTATGCTATTCTTTCTTTGGTATGCCCACTCTGCATCATTGTATCTTTTTGTTAGCTTATTTATGAATTGCTTAACTGAGCTCTCAATTCTGTTTGTTTTCCATGCTATATTATAGCTAAAATTTTTACTTTTGACTAGATCTAAATTTAGCAAAATATTTGACTTTCTGCCTTCCTTTACAAGTCGATCTGTCTCATTATTCTATCTATAATCAGTATGGCTTTAGGCTTTTTTGAGCTCTAATTTGATACCTTTCTACTTAATGAGTAATGCAATTTTTTCTAGGATAATTCTATTATCTACTCTGATCTATCTGCTATATTGTTCGATCTTGCAGGCTTTGGTTATACTCTCTATTAACTGTTCACTATCTGTGAGAACTCTAACTATTAAATTATATTGCACTAATAATAAAACTACCCAAACTCCTATTAGCTCTGTTTTGGTTAATGTTAGCTAGTTAACAACTTTCAAGTTTCCTGAGCTAACTAAACTATTTTCTATCTGATCTACTACTACTTATTCTACTTCCATATTTCCCTTATCTTCCCCTTTATCTAAAGATCCATTTGTATAGAATTCTATTTCCTTGCTTTCTCCTAACATAATCTCTTGTATCTTTTCCTTTAATATACTTGCTAATTCTATACTAAAATTCTGCTTTTCTATAATTTCGAGTTCTTGTTCCTCAACTGCTCTTAAGCCTATAAAAGAGTATTCTCTCCTTTTAGTTTCTTAGTAGTCTCTACTTGTAGCTATTGATTTAAGTGAGAAATCAATTATTTCTATTTCTCTGTTCACGCAGTTTTTTGGAATTACTTCTAGAACCTTCCATTTTAGTTACCAAACTTTGCATTTTTTATATGCTTTTTTTCTGTTACTGATATAGCCTTCATATTTTCTAATTTCTTCTTGCTTCTCTATATTCTCCTTATTCTCTCAGTACTCTAGAAGTATACTATCATCTTTTTTCTTTTACACTTTCTCTATCTTTCTGATTTTTCTAGGACTATCTTCATAAACTACCCATTTATATTTCTTTTTGTCTGAAGAAATTTCTTCGAATGAGTTTTGTAAATATAAAATATTTTTTATACCTGTCTTAAATTCATCTTTTATTTCTCTCTTCTCCTTATATATTAGTATTCACTCTTCAATTTTTTTGAACTAAATAGCCTTTTTACTTTTCTTAGATTTCTTTTTAGCTGTTTTGAGTTGCTACTATATTATTAGATGAGATTCTTCTAGGTCTAAGATTTGCTCTAACAAAAGTATATTGAGGTCACAGAGTATCTTAGCTACTCTAATAAAAGTTTTCTTTTCTATTAGGCTTTTAATTAGTATTCTACTAGGTTCAACTACCTGCTCCTTCTTATTAGTTAATATTTCTAGATCTAAATTTAAATTGTTCTGAATAACTAAACTAGCTAAATTGTTTTTGAGCAGTTTTCTCTCATTATCTTCTAGCTTTTCTGTCTGTATACTATTTGTATAACAAGTAATTTGCTGTCTTTGTCTAATTCTTACTTCTGTTATACTTCTGATCTCACAATTCTTGTTTAGTCTATTTATGAGACTTAATGTTTGTTTAGTTTTCAATGTATTCCATAGCATTCACATATTAAACATTCCACTATGTGATATTATGAAATTTGGAGCTGTTCTTACAAGACCTATCTTGTTCTTAGTAGTCATTACATATGGTTGCTAGATCTTTTCACATTCATCCTTAGTTAGATAGATGTTTTGCAGTATATATTTTAACTTTGGTATTAGGCAAATATTGTTTATATATAGTACTTGGCTCATAGAGACTACTTTCTTTTTAATTGTATTAGTAAAGAGTTATACTACTTGTTTAGCTTTAGCTATTGTCTATTTTTTGTCAAATTTTTGTTCTATCCAGATTCCCAAAAATCTTACTACTTCTTTTTCTTTTGTTGTATAGATTTCTTGTCTCTCTACTACTATTTTGTTTTAGTCTATATTTTTTTTTTTTTTTTTTTTTTTTTTAAATTCGGCAGTCAGGCCACACTTTATTGAAAAAATTTTTGTATTACCAAAAACCAACAAAGGATTAAAAAAAACCCTATATACGGCAGTATTTTTGTTATCAAAAGTGCGACTTCCCCGGTTTCCATATAG